AGAACCAAGCAAAGGAAGGAGGGTGGCTTTACAAGTAGGGTGGGCACGCCGCATTTTCCGGAAAGAAATGTATAAAAGTGAAGTGGGACTGCTGCCCGCTATTATAAAATCACGAGAATCGGGGAATTCGTGAGCCAGCTGGTGTGGTTCACTAGGACAGAAAGCGACTTTTTCGCGTTTCGCAGCGCGAAACATTTTCGCTGCGGGAACCTCAGGTCCACCGCTGATCATCAGTGGACCTGAGGTTCCCGCAGCGAAATGTTTCGCGCTGCGAAACGCGAAAAAGTCGCTTTCTGTCCTAGTGAACCACACCCGAGCCAGGGGAAGTGGAGCCAATCTAGGGGGTGTGGGTTGATTGTGTAGAGCCTGAAAGAGATCTCCTTGGAAGGAATCTATATTGTGTCGTTTACTCCGTAACGGTGGTCCTGAGCCCTACGCCAACCATCCCTCTCATACTCACCTAAATATTTCGATCGCTTTTATGGAATGAACATAGTTCCTGACGCTACTTATGTAACGAAATGCGACGGTGTTGAGCCATGGCAACAGCAAAACGTCCTCGCTTATACAACGAAGAAGTTTAATCGGGGCTAAAACCTCGATGTTGTACTTTAGCGCTTTCACTTCTTCCTAAGCTCTACACCATGTAAGTGATTAGTGGTGCTCTTTCCAACACCACAGTTTAGGCAAACCGCGACAAGATCATAACGGCCCGGCGGGGTGCGGTCCCCGGGACAAAGCGGATTTTTCGCGTTTCCGCAGCGCGCAACATTTTCGCTGCGAGAACCTCAGGTCCACCCCTGATCAGGGTGGACCTAGGGTCCCCACAGCGAAAAATGTTCCACGCTGCAATAGCGAAGACGTCGCTTTCTGTCCTAGCGAACCACACCCTGCACGACATCGTCTTCGAAGTGGAAAATAGTTTATCAAACCCCTTTCAGCTACTTTTTTAGCAATGACAGATGACTTGCAACGACAGTCGAGGCAATTGGAAACGAGCCACCAAGAGTTTATTCTGCGAAGGTCACAAGATTAAGGATAAAGCGCACACGGCCGAGTCACTCAACACTCAGCATGTGATTCATGTTACAGCAATCTGAGAGTTAGGATTGAGTGGATCTTACAACAAAGCGTAGCGATGTGGTTGGATCGAACTTCCTGATGCAACATTAACCTGCCTTTCAGCTTGCTAAAGCCATATTTACTACGGCCTCGAGTGAAGGAGAAGAGATGTGATGAATGTAAGCAATGCTGCTCTAAGATATGAAGTTGCCTAGTGCATGCTATTTGCCCTCCAATACCATATCACCAATAAAGGAGTCATATGGTATGGAGGGAGCGAGTTTTACAGCAACCGTTCGTGGCGACCACTGTAACCCCAACTTTTGAAGGAGAGGATAGCTTTAGGGTAGGTGAAGTAATTCGACAGAGCAGAAAGGGAACTAGATTAGTGTGCAGTCATACTTCGCACTCTGCAATACGGTCGCAAAGTATGACCGCACCCTTGGCAAAACTTTCCTAACCACTTGTGATATAAATAAATGAAATATTTATCATGGTTTCAAATGCCTTGAGCTTTCAGGCCGAAATGCACCTCATACCCCATGATCGCCGTAAGGTAAGGTAAGCGGGGCATCATATGTTCGAGGCCTCACCAATCTCTTTAATCGCATCAAATATCGTCCTACTTCGTGAAGTTTGTATCACAATCAGAAATTGCATGTCACCACACCATAAGGTGTTCTATGCACCTTGATTGATTAGTTGATTACTTGACAATTTTGCTGTTATGTAGAAACACACTTGACTATTACGACAGACAATCCCATCGAACAAATCCAATAAAGCTCAGTGATGTTGAGAAGGATGCTTGCGGGAGTGCGCTAATGTCTGTCGATCGATGAGCAACCGTTCATTTTCTATTGCAATGCGCTAAGATCAGGAATACCAGCGCTTCGATAACCACTGTCTAGACACACTGGGTAGCCAATGCGGGATTTTCAATCGACTTCTTACTCCA